AAGAAAAGGAAAAAAGGAAAGGGAGAGGGGAAAGGAAGGAAGGAGAATGTTGGAGAGAGAAACGAAGGAAGAAGGGAGGGATAGAGGAAGGGAGGGAGGGAGCGGGAGGGGGAGGGGGAAAGGAAGGAAGGAAGGAAGGAGACAGGGAAAAGGAAGGGAAAGAATAGAAAGGAAAAGAAAAGGGAAAAAAGGAAAGGGAGAGGGGAAAGGAAGGAAGGAGAGAAATGGGAAGCGAAATTTTGAAAAGAGAGAGGGGAAGAGAGGGAAAAGAGGTATAAAAGAAAAAGGGGGAGTTGTGGGGGAGGAAAGGGAAGGGGGAAAAGGAAGGAAAGAGAAAAGGGAGAAAGGAAAAGGAAGGCAAAAGGCAAGGGAAGGATTGTTTCCCCTCCCCCCACCCCCCACCCCACTTGGGTACAGGTGGAATAAGAAGGAAAGGCCCCCCCAAACGGAACCCACCCCCCTCCCCTAAGTGGGAGCAATTGGTTGGAAACAAAAGACGGGGGGGGGGGATATGCAAACTTATACCCAAGAGAGTGAGGGGCGGCATGCAGCAACCCAGCTGGGGGTGGGGAGGGAAGGGGGGAGGGGGGAGGGGGGGGGCTGGACAATATTTTGTATTTAGGCCAAACCAGTTTGGAGAGACTGTTCTGGAGAGGTGGGGGGGGGGCTTCCCTTCCGCTCCCTCCCTTCACTCGTTCCTTTTTTCTCCCTCTCTTTCCTCCCCTTCCTTTTTTTCCCTCCCTCCTTCCTCCCCCCCTCCCCTTTTCCTTCCCTCCTTTCCTCCCTCTCTTCCCCCTTTTCCTTCCTCGCTTCCCCCCCTTTCCTTCCTTCTTCCCTCCCTCCCTTCATTCCCTCCTTCCTTTTTTCTTCCTCACTTTCTTTCTGTCTTCCCTCCCCTTTTTCCTCCCTCTCTTCCCCCTTTTCCTTCCTTCTTCCCTCCCTCCATTTCTTCCTCCCTCCCTTTTTCTTCCTCTTTTCTTTCTTTCCTTCCTTCTTGCTCTCCCTCCCTCCCTCCCTCCCTCTCTCTTCCCTCCGCTCTCTCTGTGTCCAATTTCAGACAATACTTTCGAAAAGATCATTCTAACTTTCACCAATCAAGGTTATAAAATTCACCTCCCCCCCAAAAAAACTTCTTCCCCCCTTTCCTCATCATCCTTGACATCAAAACAAAAATGTTCCACTTTTGTCAACGAAATTGAGAAAAAGGAGTATATATTTAAGCCAGTGTTATCCGCCCCCAGTCACCCCCTCCCCAAGACAGGCATAGAACCAGCCAGGGTCCTTCCACGGTACTAACAAAAAAGGAGAAATCATTTATTCAAGAAGAAAAAAAAACCCGCTTTTAAATCCACACTGTACCAACGCTGTTTTTTTCCCTTTCTTTTTTTCCTTTCCCTTCTTTTATCTCCTTCGCTTTCTTTCCTTCTTTCTTTCCTTCTTTCTTCCTTCCTTTCTTTCTCCTTCCTCTTCCCTAATATACCTTTGATATATTTATTCTGATCAAATCCCTACGGAATTAGGTTCTCTCCATCGGCTTGGGATGGCGCCTTGAACGAATGCAACCGGTCCCTTTTCTCGACTTCTCCTGTAGTTCCGGATTCCGTTTTTTCTTCCCCGAAATTTCAGGTCCGAAACCCCCAAAAGAAATCCCCACGAGAATAGCTTTCGCTGCGACGAAGCCGAGGGTCCAAATTTCGCCCCGGCGAGACCTACGGGGGGCGGGGATGCGTTTTCGTGGGCTCTTTATTTTTACGCGGCGTGGCAGAGAGCGGTGAGTCGAGAAGAAAGGGGAAAAAAAAAACTAAAAACACGCAACGTGGCCTGGGGACTCTTTTTTGGAAAGAAAACGACGCTTCTCCGTTTTCCTTTCCCTTGTCTTCCTAACACGCGAAGCGCTCTTCTTTAACCCTTT